AATATCTTTGACGTAATATAATTGAAATGAATTGAACTGAATTAATTTAAATCTATTTTAGCTTTTAACAGAAAAATAAATGAGATATTAATTGAATAAAATAATCGAACTCTATTTAATTCATTTCGATGGATTAAATTTAATTTATTTTATTTTATTCCATTTAATAGAATAAAAAATTGAAATGAAAGAACACAAAATAAAACAAAAATAATAAAATTAAACCTAATGAAAATAAATATAAAATAAAATAAGAATTTTAAAAATAAAGTACAATCGAATCAAACAAAATAAAACGAAATGGAATAAAAATGAAGTGAAATGAAATAAGATAATATAAAAAAATAAAGGTAAAGAATATTTTTAACATAATTAAAATGAAGTAAAATAATGTTGGAAAAATTAAATGAAATAAAATAAAGTTCAACGAAATAAAAATGAAAAGATTTGTTTAATGTAATGTCATTTTAAAAAAGAAAACAAAAGTTTTTAAAGAGTAAAATAAAACAGTAATTAATGGAAGAAAATAACAAAAAATGTCAAATAGACCTAACAATATAAAAAAGACGAAAACATCTAAACAGAATAAAATAAATAAAATGAAACGAAACAGAATTAAACTTAACCACCACAAAATCAAAATAAAGAAAAAATTAACATAACATAAAATATGACAGACCTAAAAAAGTAATGAAATTAAATAAAATAAAATAACATTAAATAACATTACTTACGTCCAAATGGAATCAAAGTAAATCAAATAAGGTGAATTTGAACTTGTTCAAAAGTGAAATAAATTAAAATACAGTAGAAAAAAAAAGTAAGAAAAGGAAAATGGTTATAGAATAAAAAATTTAATAATATAAATTAAGAGTTCGTTTAGTCCATAGGGCTATGCAATTTAAAATGTTATCCATTTATCCACACCTGGCAGGGTTTTCGATACCATAATTATCAAGTGGCGTCGGTAGTCTAGTGGTAAGGCTACCGGACTCGTAATCGTGAGATTGTGGGTTCGGGGGTTGGAGCCTCAGCTCGGTCCGACGTTGTGTCCTTGGGAAAGGAGGCACTTTACCCGAACTTCCCACTTGGCTCGGTCCTATCGGAGACGGACGTTAAATTAGGAGGTCCCACCTCTTAAATAACCTAATAGTGTTGATAGGGGCGTTAAACTCATACCATTTCACCATTTTCACCGTAATTATCGATACCACCCATAAAATCCGGTGCAAATTTCCATACCCCACGAGGACGGGTCACCATGTACATCAATAATTATTGGTCGCTTTTAAGGACAAGCGGGCTAACCCAGCTTTCGAGGGTTTCCAGAAATCTTGACTTACACCAAAAAGTGGGCATTGCCCTACCTATAGGACTATAGGAGAAGTTTGGTTTCATGGATGTGTATATTTGTTTGGTTGTAGAGAAAACTCTTCTTGTCTTTGAAAGAAATTGAACAAGGGGCAAAAAACTTCACCTTCGATTTTCTCGAAATAGCATTTTTCTGGATAACCCTTTTGTGCTTAAAAGCGACCAATTATCTATTGGGGATGCTTACGTCATAGGGATAGGGAGCCAGGCTCGATGTGTAGGGATAGAAGCGGTAGTGGGAATAGAGAGAGAGACACAGAGAGGGAGAAAGAAAAAGAGAAAGAAAGACAGACAGACAGACAGGCAATAATGGAGATAGAGAGAAAAAGAAAGGGGAGACAGGCAGACAGACAAACAGACAGGCGATATTGGAAATCAAATAGAGAGACTCAGCGAGGGAGAAAGGAAAAAAAAGGAAGGACAGACAGACAGTTGAGGGGGGGGGGGGGGTATCTTTAATTTGAATCTTGTTCTTTTTTTACAATGTATTGAATTTGACCTCGAACATACTGTTCAAAAAAAGTTTTTTTGTCTCTTTGCATATGTTGCATTTCTACGCTGATGTTTTTATTATTATTATTATTATTATTATTATTATTATTATTATTATCATTATTATCATTATTATTATTATTATTATTATTATTATTATTATTATTATTATTTCTATTGTGAGATGATATCTCTGTCACCCCTAGCCCTGTGTCTGACCTATACCTAAATGGGTTGAAAAGGGCGTAAAATTGTTCTAGTCATAATGTCTGATTGGTCTGAAAGAGAAGAGAGTGTGTGTGATCCAGTGAGCACAATAATAATTATTGTATGTGAGGCAGCGTGGTGGAATCAGGCACTCGTCAATGTTTGGACATGTGGAGTTATTCGTGTCATCTTAAAGCTTGTTCATTTGTCTATCGTTCGTTGAAAAAAGTACCCATTTATCTTTAATAGAAGTCGAAATATTTGTTGTTGTTTTTTGGGGGTTGTTTTTTTTTTTTTTGTAAAGTGTTTTACGGCGCTCGCAACTGCATAGGTCATATGAGCGCACGGGACACACCTAATATTTTCAGTTGGTAGGAAATTTCGAATTTTGCCCGGGTGGCGGCCGAAGCCTACTTTTATCGATTTTAGACCACCAAGAGATCTTTAACGTACGTGCACAACTTGCACACGGGCCCTCCGAGATTTTTCGCCCTTGTCCGAGAAGGCTAGGTGTAGATCTTTCCTACCAGAAGATCAGGGGTGTGGCAGAAAGACAGCAGTAAGGAGGAGCCAAGGAGTAGCAGTAGAAAGGCTGCAGAAAGAGTCAGGAGCCCAGAGGAGGGGGCAAATGAGGTGAGAGGGTGGGGGCAGAAAGTGGAAATGAAAGCAGACAACAGAATATTGCTAGAGAGCAGGAAAGGAGGTGAAAGGAGACAATTTTAGAGAAGAAAATGTTTCGGTCGCTACCCGAATTCGAACCCGGGACCTTTGAATGAGAGGCCAACACCTTAACCTCTAGGCCACGAGAGCCCCCGAAATATTTGTGATTGAAGTAAGTAGGGTAACCTGACTTCAGAGGAAAAATAAGGGAGGAAATGACCGCCAAAGCTTGGTATCTTTCAATACCTGAGAGTCCTTGAAAACTGAAAATTTACACAAAAAATGTGTACCTTTAATCAACGTTTTTCGGGATAATCCACACAGAAATTAGTTTTTAAATTAACATAAAAGCTGTTGAGCTTAAAAACAAAAATCTGATAAAAATTGCCAAACGGGTAGAAAAATGGCAATATCTTTGATTTCATTATTTTGAGGAGCGCCTGATTCCACCACGCTGTCTCACATATTTCGTTTGTGAAATGTTTTAATTGTCACCGATTTTACTTGTAAATGGTTGATAGGAAGTTATATGGAAGAAGACAACCTTATAGTTTTTAAAAATTTATTTAGAAAAAAAATATTTTTTAGAAATATTGTTAAAACTTTTTTCCACTCTTTTTCTTTATTATAATAAATCTAGATCTATATATAGATTGTTGAAGTTATTTTTATTGAATCTTGAACAAAATTGTCCTAAGAAACAATCGTTTGGGGCTGATTTTACTTTATTTTTAAAAGGGGGGGGGGTATGTTTCTTTGGGTTTTTTTGTTTGCTGCAGGGTTTTATTTTTTTTGTGAATTGAATTTTGCTGAATCATCATCTTTTTAATGTTCGCTGTTAGATTTTTTGTGTCTTTCCCCCCAGTTTACCTGAAAATAAAACCGTGATTTGTTTGATCTGTATTT